TATATATATTACCCGTGTATATATTCTATATACATACGTGCAAACCTGTCTCTATTTATCCTCAAATGGAAGGACACACATATAGACTCGTAAGTGCCTATCTGCATATTTGTTATGGCTACTGCCTGCAGAGCTATGAAAATCTGTGCGCTTTGCTCATACTTGAGGGAAAGAAGATTGATTCTGATCAAGTAACTCTCGCATACTCAGTTGACACTTCACTGCCTCCCCTTAATGCAACAGGTAGCCGGCTCTTCCCTTCCATAGGTCATAACGTGCTCTGGGGACTGTTTGTTTGTATCCGAGTGTGGCTGCCAATCAACTCCTGGCCTAAACTGGGTCCCGTCGGTCATACGTAGCTTAAGTAAAAGCCAAGTACGATTCTTGACTCGACTGTCCTATCTGAGTTCAAAAAAAACAAACAAACAAAAAAAATGGAGCTGGCGTACTGGGAGTCCTATAAGGCCATTGCGCAGAAGTTGAAGAAGCGGTTCATGCGCAAGCCAAAGTATGACGTAGCACGAGACGAGTACATGCACCTCGCACGTGAGCTGAAGAAGGAGGGTGCGCATCAACCGGCGGCACTGTGTTTCCTGGCTGTAGCACGGTGCCAGGAGGCAATGGCCAATAACACGGCGATGGCGAAGGTGAGATGGGAGGGCGTGTTAGCTTGTGCGGTGGATGGGGTTGTTCGTATCTACCGTATATATATGTGGGTGTTGTGTGTGTGTGTAGCTGTGATGGGTGTGGATGCAAAGTGCATGCACGTACACGTATATGTATGTATTGTTCAAGTGTCGGTGTCTGTAAGTATTCTCAAGGATGTCATGGGACTGTATGCCACCACTGGAACTACACCAACCCAAACACCGAATGTGCATACGGCGGCAGCACTATGACACTACACATACCACAAACTTATCACAATAAACGTTATCAAAACAGATGGGATGTTTCATACGTATATCACTCTAAACCACACCGAATGTACACACAGAGATAGTACTAAGACACTACACATACTACAAACCAATACCACAATAAACGTTAGCAAAACAGATGGGGACAGTACATAGGCATGACACTCTAAACCACACCGAATGCACACACGGAGATAGCACTATGACGATATATATACGATAAACCTATCACAATCAACGTTAACAAAACAGATGGGATGTTTCATAGGTATGTCACACTAACCCAAAGCTCTGTGCGCAACACAGGCGAGCTAACACCCCGAACCCAAACCCTACACCCAACGACACACCAGTACACACACGAGGCTGCGCGGCTGTACATCTCCTCAGTGCAGTACGACGTCTATTCGGCCTACCTACCCCTGGCGGACTGCATAGTGGACGCCACAAACACCTACCTCCTGGCCGTATCCATGTACCTGAACATACGCAAACCCAGCCTTGCCTCCACACTACTACTGGAGCTAGCTGGTACGCTGTATGATCTGCAACTGTTTGAGGAGGCGATGCTGTACTATCGCAAGGCACACACGCTGCAGCAGCACACACCTCTGGTGGCACTAGCGACGCTGCAGAGGGTGGCTAGCTGTCTCATCGCACTAGGTGAGTGGTAGTTAATTGTTGTTATGACATGCGCGCAGGTGCATGTGGGATGGGCAGGCGACGCACTATGCATGTTATGTCTGGTAGTAGGAAGCACTATGCATGTTATATCTGGTAATATGGAGCACTATGCATGTTATATCTGGTAACATGGAGCACTATGCATGTTATATCTGGTGATATGAAGCACTGTACAAGCTATATCTGGTAATATGAAGCACTGTGCATGTTATATATCTGTTAATACGAAGCACTGTGCATGTTATATATGGTAAAATGAAGCACTGTGCATGTTATAACTGGTAATATGAAGCACTGTGCATGTTCTGTCTGGTAATAGGAAGCACTATGCATGTTATGTCTGGTAATAGGAAGTACTATGCATTTTATGTCTGGTAATAGGAAGTATTATGCATGTTATGTCTGGTAATAGGAAGTACTATGCATGTTATGTCTGGTCATAGGACGTACTATGCATGTTATATCTGCGTTAGTAGAGCTGTTTGTTTTGGCCCATCAGATGGGCTCGTGACACATGTCACATGTCGATACACATCAATACCAACGGCTGCGTGCAGTTCTCATGTTCACACACACGCCCGTAGTTTCCATGTTTACACACACATGTACATAGTTTCCATGTTTATACACACACGCACATAGTCTCCATGTTTGCACACACATGCAGGTACAAAGGTTCATCCTCCCCTAACAAATATTCTTTCCTATTGCGATAATCAGGGCACCTCGACGTAGCCGTGAACACGCTGACCGAAATTATCGAACTAGCATCCGACAGTGGTACGTGCAGCACGTGTGTGTGGCGTATATGGCATATGTGTGGTAATGGAGAGTGTTAAAGGAGAATGTTAAGGTTTTGGCTTGTGTGTGACATTTCGTATGCATGGCGTGTATGACATATGTGTGGTAACAGAGAGAGTTAATGGATAATGTTAAGGTTTTGTTCGTATGCATGGCGTGTATGACAATTGTGTGGTAATGGAGAGTGTTAATGGATAATGTTAAGGTTATGTTCGTATGCATGGCGTATATGACATATGTATGGTATTGGAGAGTATTAATGGAGAATGTTAAGGTTTTGTTCGTATGCCTGGCGTGTATGACATATGTGTGGTAACAGAGAGTGTCAATGGAGAGTGTTAAGGTTTTGTTGGTATGTATGGCGCATATGACATATGTGTGGTAATGGAGAGTGTTAATGGAGAATGTTAAGATTTGGTTCGTATGCATGGCGTGTATGTCAATTGTGTGGTAATGGAGAGTGTTAATGGAGAATGTTAA